AAATAAAAAACTATATGACTAAATAGTTTTAAACATATTTCCCTGCTGGAGAACCGGCTCAGACAAGCCTGTGCTGAATGAAACTTGTCAAATACAGTAATGAAAATATAATTTATAATATCTGAAATAGCTGTACTACTACTGACATGAGACCGCGGTAAAGATAGTTTGCGGTTTGATATTCCGATTTATTTTGGCTTTAAATACGCAGTGCGCTGTCAATAGACATGCAAATAATACCGAATATCATTCTCCATGATTTGTGAATTCAGATGACGCTGTCCTTCGGGCAGGGTTTTTTTTCGTAGCGACTCTTAATTTTATAATGCCTATAGCTCCAAAAGTTGGACGAGGAACATGATTTTAAACATGAAGAACGCCTTTCTTTCACATTCCTTACTAGCGGACTAACCAAGGGGTTTACAGACAAGAGCTTTGCTGTGAAAAAAATCACAGATAATAAAGCTGGCATTATAGGCATTATAAAACTAAGAGTCGCTACGAAACTCTTACGTTTTATTTGCATGTCTATGACAGCACACTGCGTATTTATAGCCAAAATAAATCTGAATCAAACCGCAAACTATCTTTACTCCCGTTGACATGAGTGGGTCCTACAAATAGGCTACATGCAAAACTGAAATGATATATGTGAAAGAAATATTTTGAATAGGTATTTTGAAGGGACAGTATTCGTCAGGCACCTGAGGGTCTGTGAAATGTACATGGAATATTCATAATTATTATTTTCTTTTTCTTTCTATCTAAAAAGAGAATTATAAGTAGCTGTTTATTTCCTCTCCAGGTGCATCTGATGATGTTGGCGCAGACAGAGTGTCGGGTGTCTGCGATGAAGGGAGATTCAGTCACTCTGCACACTAATATTATAATAAACCAACGAGACCGAGTTAAATGGTATTTTAATGACATTTTCATTGCTCAAATCACTGGAGATCTCAGTGATATCTGTACAGATGTTCAGTGTAATGAAGAAGGTACTGAGAGATTCAGAGACAGACTGAAGCTGGACAATCAGACTGCTGATCTTACGATCACCAACACCTCAGATAATGGAGTTTATCATCTAAAGATCTTCAGCAGCAGACACACTGGAAAGGATTTTGATGTTGTTGTCCATGGTGAGTCATTAGTGGATGTTTAAAAGCAGGTTATATGTGTTCAAATCACAGAATGAATGTTTATCATAATACGGACGTTCAGAATTGCTTTCAGACAGTACCAGAACAATGACTTTAAACTAATTTGTGTGTCCACTGGTGAGTTATTAGTTTTAGATTTAGTTTTATTCTGGTCAGTTTCTCGTCTGACCACCATTTAAATTGCTCTGTTATTTCATACTCATTGTTTTTTAGTTTACTGGATTCCAAATTGCAGAGGATTTGTTGTACAATAAGCACATAAACTGTGTTTATAAGCACAGAATCTCGATAAATGTTGCTTTACAGATTGACGATAAAGAAACCTAAAATAGTGTTAATGTCATATTGTCTCATATTATGATCACAAGATTATTCAAAAAGTGCTTGGTGAAATTATAAAACACTAATTTATATTTTTCTGTAGTAATACATTGTAATTTGTTTCTTGTGTAGTAATACAAATACATTATGCATGTCTATGTGTAATGCATGTATGGGTCAATAATACATTTTTAATTCTGCAGAGACTTTTCTAAGTCTGTATGAATAAAGATAGATCGACAGAATTCTTTTAAGCACAATTCATTTTTTATTTTGCACATTTAATGTTGTTTCTTCTGAATTTCTTAAGATCCAAGAAATGAATCTGCTAAATAATTTTTCATAGTTTGTTCCTATTGAAGAGTTTCGATTGGTGTTTCAGATGTTCCTGCTGCTGGAATGAAGAGAAAGGCAGTGACGGAGGGAGAATCTGTCACTTTAGACACTCCTGAAGAAAAAAAAACAAATGATGTGATGGCGTGGTTTTTTAATGACATTCTCATCGCTGAAATCACTGGAGATCAGAGTAAGATCTGTACAGATGATCAGTGTGATGAGAGATTCAGAGACAGACTGAAGCTGGACAATCAGACCGGATCTCTGATCATCACAAACATCAGAAGCACAGACTCTGGACTCTATAATCTAAAGATCAAATCCAGCAGAAACCGCTACAGTACCACCAGCATTAAGAGCTTCACTGTTTCTGTTACTGGTGAGTATCATTTTGGCCATATGGAAGGAAAACAAGTCTTACAGGGGAACGTAAAGAAAAATGTTGTTACATCTTTTTATTTTAGTAACTTGATGTCTTGGTACCAAAGCATTGGTGCTTTTGACCTCACTGTATGAATCCGAATCAGATTCACATGAGCTCTCTGAGACCAGCTGATATCTCGTATTGTTTGTTATAGATCAGTCCAACATAATGACTCACACTAATGACTGTCTCTTTTGTTCCAGATTCAGGTCCGTCTTCAACTGCTGTAGCAGGAATATGTGCTGCTGTTGCTGTTGTTCTGCTGGTGGTTGCAGCTGTTGGTGTGATTTACTATCACCGCAGGAGCTCCATAAAGGGCGAGTATCACCTACATATTGTATAGTGAGAGGAAAACATCTTTAATTGCAAAATTAGCATTTAATTGTGAGTGATTTTGTGATTTCATAGTTTCTGTAGCTGTAAATGACAGCGCTTTGTTGTTTTGTACAGATGAAGGAAGCTCTCATGATCGGAGAGGATCCCAACACAGGGCCGGCACCAACAGGGGGCATTTGCAGGCTCAAATGAGTTACTGTGCCCCCACTTTCCATCCTCTTCCTGAAAGCGAAAGTGAAACCGATTAAAACAGTGTGCATATGAAAGCGATCGCATGCTTTCTTGAGCTTCAGCAAATGCACACGATTGCACATGCCCCGCCCCCAATGTGATTTGGGCTCCCTCTAGAAATTTAAATGCCCTCCCCCGCCCCCCACCCCCGATGGAGGTGCCCTGGTGCCGGCTCTGTCCTAACAGGATCAGTGTGAAGATACCGAGGCATTATTCCCATTTAAGTGAAGTGCCAAAAACAAGACCCTAACGGATTGTGATTTTAAGATGCAACTTGATGAAATCTTTTGCAGGTCACATTGATTTGTCACAGAGCACTTACCGTTAACTCTAATGGAAATATTACCCATTACTGTAAGCATAGATCATTTTAGCAATGTGATCATCTATATGTTTTAATGATTTGATAGTTGCAGCTTATAAAACTGGAGTACATTTATTCATTTAGTATCTTTATAAGAAGTGTCAAATAAGGAACATAACATTATCGTAGTTATTATAATAAGTGCCTTTGTTTTACTGGTTGAGGGTTAGTTGAGGGCTTGTGGTGGAGGTTTGCCTTCTGCGGTTTCATATTTCAGCAGATCTAGTGGAGGTTGAATGTGTCTGAAGGAACGCTTCTGGAAAGAAACTCCTAACCATAATGTACAGTAACCACTAGGTGGTGCTTTTTATCTTCATCCTCAAAGGACAATTGTTCTGCTTTATATATTTGTACTTGTAGCATTCAGCTTTCTTGCTAAAATTATGCAACAAATGCTTTATGAGTATTAGGAAGATGGAAACAATCAATTCAGCATTTAACACTCATTTTAAAAGACAGACGATCATGAGCTCTCAGGTTATTAGTCAATGCTTCTGTTGAAGCCACTTTAACATCAGTAACAAAATGTTCATTATTCATTTCTTTATTTATGTAATTCACAATGCATCATGGGCTCTTATTTCTTCATAAAAGATATCAGGTACCCAGTCTTATACTTTAGTTTTCCCCGTTTGTGCTATTTTTCATTAGAACTACTTATTAAGGAATGAAAATGAGAAAATGAACTGGAAAAATACTGCAGAAGTTTATCCACCTTATTTGTAAATGCCACAGCCATTTGAAACATGAATGTGTGAGGCTTCTGGTTCATTTCTGGTTATATATGGACTATAAATTATCACCCAAATAATAAACATGCTGGTTTATAGTGTGATAGCTTTACTGTTTATTGCACTTTGTTATTGTAGTTGTAGCTGAAAACTTGGCTGTCACTTTTGCACTCTATTTGTATGTTTAAGTTATTTTCTACTGAGATGAATTGTTTTTGATAAAACAGTCAATAAATGTAACAATATGTGGTGAATTTAAATAAACTGTTGAAAATATCTTTCTTGGTAAGCATGCACCAGTGTTATATTTTAGTATCTATTATAGTTGTTTTTAATATTTTGAATTCGTTTTATTTTCTGTTTAATATTCATTTTAGTCCAAGTTGTAATAATGTTTTGTCAGTGTGTCAATGTAATCAAACATTTTAATTTCATTAAAATGTTTTATTTGAAGTGTTTTAGTACTTCAACATACACTAAACTAAAATGTTGCCTTTTCTAAAAAAAAAATATATATATATAGATTTTGTACATTGATCATGTTAATACTGAATAAACGTAAAAAATAGTTTTTTTTAGGATATTTATATATGTTTACGAGGCTATTTTCAGCAAATGTTTATTTCAAATGGCAAAAATATGTTTTTAATAGTTTCTGTGACCGGCAGTTTGTATAAACCTCAAGAAAATGTATTAAGTCATTGAAGATCCGCTGTAGACATTAAAATTATATCGTTTGTGTTGTATCTTTATTTTAAATTCATAAATTATTTCCAGGTGGTAAATGTCGACATATTTAAGCTCTTGTCTTATGTCAAACAATAAATTAATTTTGTTACTGTTGTTGTTGTTGTTCATAGTTTGTCCACAATGAGGAGACATATAACAAGCAGTGAAGTTATCATGATTATACGTCGACAGGGATGATTCATTCCAGCGAATCGCTTCGTTCGCTCGGCTCGCTTAAAGAATCGATTCAAAGAGCTGTTTTATTCGAGTGAATTATTTGCTTAAATACTGCAGTTTGTAACTACGTTTTCGATCAGAATAGCTCGTTGATAATATGCGAAACGCAACAGCTTCTAGTGATTCAGAATCAGTTTGAACAAATTAAATTAAAAAGAATCAAAAGTTCTGATTCGGATATCACTAGTTACTAGTTTCAGCCAAAAATACATGAGCGACCATATCCTAAAACTCTACGCTAGAGCAATAATACCTAGCTTTGCCATATGCATTATGTATTATTAACGAGCATTTTGTGTCGTAACATGTTTTGTGCTCTACGTAGTGCGCATCGCATCGCACTTCCTCATGCAGCCTCATCACGGGTGTGGAAACACCTTCAACACGTCCACACTCAACTACACAACACACGCCAGAGGAAGAGAGAGGGAGAAAGGGGGCGTTGAATCGTTTGCCACCCGCAAATTGTCTTTCTCTTCGTCCTCTTCTCTCTCTGAATCTCTAGTTTTCCTGCTAACATGGCTGCGCTCTCAGCCTGGTTCTGGAACGAGCGCTTCTGGCTTCCGCACAATGTCACTTGGGCGGATCTGGCCGACCCTGCGCCCGGGGTGGAGTACCCGAAAGCCGGCCACTTGCTCTCCGCGCTGCCGCTGGCCTTGGGGATCTTCGCAGTGCGGATCTTTTTCGAGAGGTATGGTTTAAGCCTTTGAGACCATCCAAAACTTTTGTCTAACCTCAAGTGATATATACATTTCAGTCTTTTAAACCCACATCACATGCTTTCCCGCGTCTTAATACTGAAAGTGTAGCTTATGCACGCACGTGTCTAAAAAAGGTTGTTTTGAAGTCCATTTGGGCTGGTTGGACATGAGAGCAATTTCAAGCCTTCGGGTTATAAACTTTCAGCCTGATGCATCTGTCAGCTGACCAGCTTAAGGCCTCGACTTATTAAGAGGATTGCATTTATTTTTCTTTGCTTAAACGTCTTTTTATGTGCCCTTTTTTCATCCCTATCTTTACAACCGCACTCTCACTTAAAGAATGAGAGCATGCTTTTTAGTCAGACTTCCTTGTTGAGCAGAAGTGCAGGCACACGTGTGATGATCTTCTAGAGTTTCCTAATGTTGATTTTGCATAATATCTGGAAATAGTGTCAGAATTGAACACCGCACCTTTAGAAGAGCCTGTGATGCATGAATTGTATAAAACGTGTACAGTGTCATGTCTCAAATATGCTTTGAATTCAAGGGAACATTTGTGTGTCAGTGTAGGAAAGCTTGGTTTTAAAGGCATAGCGCGCTCAAAAATGAGCTACTCTTTTCTGTCAAAGTTTACACACCCTAATGTTTTTCCGCAAACCCTTTGATGTTGACTTTTTTTATGTGGAACATGACTGGAGACATTTGGTACAATGTTCACGCTGCTCTTTTCCATAAACTGAACGTGAATGGGGACCGGTGCTGTCAATCTCTGAAAAAACACTAAACTGCTTGTATGCTAAGTTAATAATGACTTAAAGTTCTGTAGGTTCGTTAAACTATCTTTTTCTAAACTATCTAAATTTAGAATTTTTGGGTGAACTAGTCATTTAAAACTAAACATTTCAAAAAGGCAAATTGCTATGCAAGTTACACCAAACCTCAGGCTCTCTGTCATAACACGATTCTGTTACGTAAGAGCCAGCGTCACTCTATCTGCTGTTGGGTTTCTGCACGAAGCGCATTCAACGTCTTGAACTAATATTTTAGATTTAGGACTACAGATAGACTGTAGAAACATTCCAGAGCGTTCTCAGCTGAATGTTCAGTGGGTGGGGATCTCATTTTTGACGTCTAAAATCCAGTGTTCATGAGAAAAAGTGGGTTCATTATGGCTACATGTGGTGCTTTGATATCTAGCATACTACTCAATAATGACTATATTCATGTATAATGGTGTTTGAATGGAACTCCACGGTATTGCGTCCAAAACAACCTCTTTTTTGTTAGTTTGGCTGCTTTAGGTTTCATTGACGTGGAGTATAAGTATCTTGAGGAACCTGTTAGGAGAAACTACTTCTTACTGATCCAGTTGAGGTAAAAGTATTTGTGGTTTTGAGTCTGGTTGCACCAGTTCTGTTGAAACTGTTTAAAATTTGCGTTTGACTAGTTTTACTTACGTGGTTTGCGGCACATCACTAAAAATAGCGAGTGAAACCAGTCCACAGAACCAGTGAAACTAACTCAGACACAAGGCTTCACCAAATGTGTTTGGTTTCTTCTTAAAAGTGTGAAACATTAACATAGCTATGTGTTTTAATGTCAGAACATGAGATTGAGGCACGAAAAAGTTAATTATTTTCTTGACACTTTTGTTTTGTATGGAAGCCCATTTATGCCACTAAATAAAAAATAAAACAAGGTAATTGCGACTTTTTATCTCACAATTCTGACTTTTTTTGCAATTGCGAGTTATAAAGTCAGAATTGCGTGATATAAACTAGCAATTGTGAGTTATAAAGTCAAAATTGCGAGTTATAAAGTCAGAATTGCAAGATATAAACTCACAATTCTGATTTTTTTTTTCTCAGAATCGCAAGATATAAACTCGCAATTCTGAGTTTTTTTCTCGCAATTCTAACTTTTTTTCTCAGAATTGCGTGTTATAAAGTCAGAATTGCAAGATATGAACTCGCAGTTCTGAGAAAAAAAGTCAGAACTGCGAGTTTATATCTTGCGATTCTGAGAAAAAAAAGTCCGAATTGTGAGATAAAAAGTCGCAATTACCTTGTTTTATTTTTTATTCGGTGGCGGAAACAGGCTTCCATAGTTTTGGGTCCAGTCTTCAGATTACATACTAGATTGCATACAAGCTACATACTAGACAGTGTTAATTGAAATAGGCGCCTACTGTAGGTTTTATTAGTATTTTGAATTAGTTTTTATTGATATATTTTCCATGTTATGTTTAGATAAAATATTAGTAGTTTAATTGTGTTTTTGCCATTTTATTAACATGTCTATGTAGGTTTTATTCATTGTTATTTCAGTTTTAATTATTTTAGTGCATTAAGTTAAACTAAATGGAAATGAGAAATGCTCTTTTTTTAAACATTCTCTATATTTGAGTTTTCCAGGGTTTTTTTTCTGAGTTTTTCATCATTGTTTAGTTGTTTGATTTACCTTCAGGGAAGCCTAAAGCTTCGTTTGTGGATAAGCAAGTTTTGCGAATCCCGCCAGACCTCATTCTTGCAGAAGAACTCATAATTGCATACAAGCTACATACTAGACAGTGTTAATTTAAATAGGCGCCTACTGTAGGTTTTATTAGTATTTTTAATTATATTTGAGTTTTACAGGGGGTTTTTTTCCGAGTTTTTCATCATTGTTTAGTTGTTTGATTTACCTTCAGGGAAACCTAAAGCTTCGTTTGTGGATAAGCAAGTTTTGCGAATCCCGCCAGACCTCATTCTTGCAGAAGAACTCATAAATGTTTAGTATATCTCTTGAGGAGCGTTCGGTTTATGGGCTGGTTCATGGTTTATGATGGTTCATGGTCGTTTAGTGTCCTGCATGAACATATTACATTTACTCTTTTGTTGTGCTGGCCGACTTGGTTTTGCAGAAGAGCGTTGTCAGGCACACACCCCTCTCATGTTTCACAGTGTCCTCATGTCTGGGGTCTGACCAAGCCTCTGAGGAGGCCAATTAGCCTAGTTGGTCCAGAGGGGGTTGGTCTGGTTTCAGGGGGACGTTTGCATGCATTCGGTCAGGATGACTTCAGCAGTCTCTCTCTTCATTTATTTATCAGTGGCGACTGCAGACCACAGATAGTGTTGATGTGCTTTAGCAATGAAGAGTTACAGACTTGCAGGGTTTTAAACATCTAAACCAGAGACTGTTTTTTTTTAACTATGGTAGTTTTTGATGTATACTAGCAGTTAATTTTTATGGACCTTAACAGATTTCAGGTTCAAAGTTCTTGTTTCATTTTGTTGACATATTAGAGTTAAAGGATTTTAAAGAGGGGATATCTTTTTTTATTACTTCACAACTCAGAAAATACTGTCAAAAGCCAGAAAAACTTTTGTCACCATGTTTTAGAAATAGAATGTTGTATAAAATCAGGTAAATTATACAGTGTTGGGTAAGTTCCTCTAAAAAGCAAATTAATCATTAGTTACTAATAGGGATGGGTACCGAAACCCGGTATTTAATCAGTCCCGGGGCTAAATTATGAAAGACCGGAGTATCGATAAGCTCTGACGTTAACGGTTCTGCTATCGGTACTGGAGAAATGAATAAAACACACATACATTTATTATTGCTATATATACATTATCTTGCAAATTCTATCTCACCAGAGTCGCCAGCTGCGCGCTCCAAAACGGACAAACAAATTACACTTTGAGCTTAGGGCACATGTCCAATCGATCAAATACACACAAAATATTTCCAAATGGCCGGCTTGGAGAGTATTTACTTAAACACAGTTTATGTCTTAAGTGGAGGAGAACAGTTGGGAGAAAATCCAATGTGTGTCAATATATTGTCTTAAAGTGGCAGACTGGCGCTTGGGCCATCAAAATGCAAATCAGTCGCCAGCTGTTTTTATATGCAATAATATTCAAACATTTGTCAATGATGCCTTTTTGCTATTCGCAACTCAGAAGTGAGATCGCGCTCGTGCGGAAGAGCTTCAGCACGCACAACATGAAAGCCCTGCTTAATTATGATAGAGGACCGAACTAAACATTCAAATGTCTGCTTACACTTTAGGCCTGTGGCTGTTTTATTAAGCTATTTTTATTTTTTATTTAGATTTTGGCTTCTAAGGATTATAGCCGCGTTTCTTCTAGCGCAACTTTTTTCCCTTCACAGCGGTGCACATTCGTTCCTCCCTAAAACCCAAACTTAAAAGTCAGAATCAGCACAATCGGTGATTGTTGTAAAATGCCGTCTTATACTGCCATATTGAACCATATTGAAAAACTAGAACAATCCAACAACTTGCTTCAAACTAGTCAAAACACTAGCGAAAAGATGGATGCGGTCATAAAAGAAAACAAAATAATGAAAGAAACCATCCTGATATTAAACCAGAAGTATGCGTGATAATCTGATTTTCTCTGGTATCCCCGAACACCCATCCGACGATCCCGAAGTGATGATCAGAGATAGGGATGTAACGATTACTGGTTTGACGATAAATCATGATAAAATTCCCCACGGGTAGTATTACCATTTCATATTTTAAATATAGCTGCAAGCAGCAATTACGGAGGTTCAAGCACTTTAAGGCTTTTGAGGTGGTATGCTTTTAGGGTCTGGGCCAACCTGGATGTATGGCTGACAGTAAAACACATCCAAAATGGAGAATATGCTCACAGACACACACACA